TGTTTGCCTGTGTACTTCAGCCACAAGCACCTAAAATCCTCCTGCTTTCCCAGCTCTCCCCCTGCTTCTTAGAGTCTGATTCTGAAAAAAAATGTTCATGACCAATAAAGGTACGTCTACAATTTCTTGCAAAGCAATGGCTCTGCTGCTTTGAAACTCGCTTTGCTTACCTATGGATCGGGCTAGAAACACTGGACTGCTCTTGCTGCTGTCACAAAGCCTTTCTTGCCCTGTTTCTGCTTTACCAGGGATTATCTGAAGCTGAAAAAGCAGCCTGTCCTTTAAAAGCAGAAGCATCTTGCTGACATTTTTAAGACACCATTTGCATCAGGGGAAGGCCAGAAGTGCCTGAGCAGCAGAAGAGATCACTCCCACTCATTTCTCTGCTCTAAGCAGATGCTTTCTAAATGAATCTTTGCTGGGAGAGCAGGAAGAACAGTGCTGTGATTCCCCCCTTATGCTGCTGCAATGGGGCATGAGGGTCCCTTGGTGCTCAGGCCATGGAGAGGAGTTTTGGGGCTCTAGGACACAGCAGGGTCTGCTGTGAATGGCTCCGTGCTGAACTGTTCTTGCAGCAGGGAGTGGTTGCTGCAGCTGCCTCCAGGCCAGAGTGCAGATGCTTGGGGAGCTTTGAGGACTGGTCCCTTTGGGAAGGAACCTTTCCAGGAGGAGAGGGCTTTTTGCTGGCCAAATGCAGAGGCCTTGTTCTGTGTGGAGCCAGTGTCCTGTTTGTGCCACTGTGACCCTTCTCTGTGCTCTCTCATGGCACAGCCTGATCTGCCCCGTGCCTTCCTGCTTCTTTTTTCCCTTCTCACAAGAAAGCCCTGGAAAACGCCATACCAAAATGTCCAGCTTGTGCATTCAAACCCTTCTCTGAGCACAAATGTGAGTACCATGAGAGAATCAGGGAGTATCAAAATATTAAGAGGGAGATGAGTTAAAACAGTGAGCATTGTTGCTTTTTCAGTACACTTTATTTACTCATTATTATTTCAAGGAATTTGATTGGAGGGGTCTGATGTGATAGGATTGGTATCTTCATGGCCAGTTGCAGCAGGAGCAGCTGCTGTCAAAGACGAGACCGGACTGGCAGCTCTCCATGTAGGTTTGGCCATTGACGCAGCTGTAGAAGTTGCTCTTGTTGGTGGGGTCTGCGTAGATGCCGTTGGACTTGCCAGCACAGAAACCGCTCCCACCAGAGCCCCCAGGATTGCTGCCTGAGCTCCCGCTGCCACTTCCACCTTGGCTGGGAGGAGCATCAGTGATGGGAGGGTTGGGCTGAGCGGGAGGCACGCAATCTGAAAGAGAAGCGGGAAAGGAGTTAGTGTTGTGTTTACAGTCTCTCATCCATCCCATCCTTCCATCGGCCCTTTAGTGCTGGGCTCAGCTATGAAAGTCTGGCCCGGTTCACACCAGGGGTTTGAAACATCTGGACCCAGGTCCAAGTTACAATCTCCCTTTTTATTCCCAGGGTGTGTAGAGGGAAGAGATCTTTCTAGGGCAATCCCTTGTTGTGTCCTCCACAGCAAGTCTCTATCCACCAAGGCTCCAGAGATAAAGGTTCATGGGTCTCTGGAGCCCTGCATCAGCAGTGAGCCAGGGAGTCCCCTTCAAGAAGCAAACACTGCTCCAGTTACTCACCGCTGTTTTGCCGACCAAGGCCGTTCTTCAGAGTGGTGATCAGGGGATATTTGCCTTCCTTGCAGAAAGTGCCAGTGAAGTCATCCATATCGAGGGACCAGACCATAGCGCCTCCAAAATTGTTCTTCTTCAGCCAGTCAATCTGTTCAGTGCCAGAGGAGAAATCCCAATTAGTCCAGGGAGCTGTGACAGCAGAAAGCCTCCTGTTGTATCAGCACAGCCACGCATCCCACCATACCTTGATGTTGAAGCTCTTGATGTTGTCATAGCCAACCCACTCGTTGCCTTTGTAAGCATAGGGCACGTCCTGGGGGGCATCCCAAGCCTGGGTAGCTCCAGAGTTCAGGAAGGTGCAGATCTAGGAAAAGAATGGCAGAGAGGGAGAAGTTAGCAAGTGTCCTACAAAAATAAAATTAAAAAATTACATGTTCCATGTGCTGAACATTACTTGCTTGGTAGTTTGAAGCATGTTTGTGTTCTTGCTGGCCTAGGTCTGTAGGAGCACACGTACCTCGTAGTAAGCCAAGAATCCAGACTGCCGTGTGTAAGGTCCAGCTGGCCCAGGTCCTGATGCGGGTGCTCCAACAGCGGTGTCAGATGGGTTTTGGAGGTTGAAGTTATGTCCATAGGTTGGGAAGCCAACGAGGAGCTTCTCAGCTGGGGCACCGTTGTTCTTCCAGTAGTTCATAGCATAATCCTGTAAAACAAGGACTACGCTTGAAGTGTGTGCCAGGATTTGCACGCATGCGGGTGACCCCTTAAACTTGTGATCACTGGTGTCATGATATTCATCCATGAGACAGTCTCAGAAAATATACTTACAACATTGAAGTTGACGAGGTCACCAGTGTCAGCTGGGCCTTGGTACAGAGGGCTGTTCTCCCCAGTGCGTCCATCCCAGGAGCCGTGGAAGTCGTAAGTCATCACATGGAAGTAGTCCAAGTACCTATGGAGAGCATTGCACGCATTTATCTCCTGGCCTGATGGTCACCCAAACCCAACTGTTCCTTTAGTGCTGGCCATTTACCCCACCAAAGCCATGGCCATGTCCACATTTCCTGCAAATCTGGTTTCTTCAAGAGATTTTTCTTAGCTGGCCTCATGAGTGCTGGAGCCAGTTCCCTCCTCCAGAGGAGGGAGGCAGGGTCAAGGCACAGTGGGATTGCACTGGTGTTGTGGGAACTGAGAGATGTTCCCCAATGACTTTGAGTAGCTGGAGCCAGTCTGTTCCCTTCCCAAGGTGTCCCCTTTCCACCAAACAAGCACCGCTCTCATAGCACTGTGAGAACACACAAGACCCCACATGCAGTGAGGTTGGTCTCTGCCAGACAATGGTTGTTTCCCTTAATCCTTGAAGACCACTTAATTCATAGGAACAATACCTGAGGGTTTGCTACTCACTTTCCGAGCTCAGGAATCTCATAGCCAGACTGAATGGTGGAAAGTCCTGCAGCAACAGCAGCGGTGATCAGGAGACGGGGCTTGTTGACCTGCTTAGCTTCCTGCTCAAAGGCTTCCAGCATTTCCTGAGGGATGCCAAGAAACAGATTTAAACATGGACTCTCTGGGCTCGGCCTTTGGACCCCGAGCTCTGCATAGCAGAGAACTTGACCAGTTGGTTTTGGTTGAGCCTACCTTAACCAGGGTGGTAAAAAGCCCCTTGTCCTGGGCTGGGCTGCCCCTGGAGCCAGGGTATTCCCAGTCGATGTCCAGCCCATCAAACTGATACTGGCGCAGGAACTTGATGACGGACTTGATGAAGGTCTGGCGGTTCTGGGGAGTGGAAACCATTGTGGAGAACCTGGGGAAGCAGAGCAGGACAGAGTTGGGGTTTTGTTATGTTCGTCTTCCTCCTTTTCCTCCATTTCCAGGGTGATGTTGCAGGAAGATGGTTTGAACTTACTTGGATGTCCCGAAATTCCAACCTCCAATTGCCAGAAGAGTCTTCAGATTTTTGTTCCTGGAAAGGAAGGAACAGAAATATTTTCCACTACAAGGACAGGTTTTAGTCTTACCAATTTCTAACATTACACAGCAGACCAACATAAAGCGCAGTGCTCTTGATTTTCTTTAAAACATCTGATGTAGCTGCATTTGTAGGCCATGATCCCTTGTTTTGAAACCCAAAGAGGAAGTCAGCAGCGCCCTGAGTCACTGTCACCATCCTCTGAGATGGTGGTGGCAGCCTGTGCTTCCCTGCCCTTTTTCTTCAGGCCATTGAAGGATTTGTAAAGGGTCTCGTCGTCCCACTCGTAAGTTGCGATCTCATTGTTGTTCATCCCAGCAAAGGCGTAGATCAGATGGTCGCACAGGCACGGGTCGATGTTGTCAGGCATGTACTTCCCCACACCAGGCCTGTACTGGGCCCAGTTGGTGAAGTAACATGACAGGATATAGGCAGTGCCTGCAGAGAACCATTGAAGGATTTGTAAAGGGTCTCGTCGTCCCACTCGTAAGTTGCGATCTCATTGTTGTTCATCCCAGCAAAGGCGTAGATCAGATGGTCGCACAGGCACGGGTCGATGTTGTCAGGCATGTACTTCCCCACACCAGGCCTGTACTGGGCCCAGTTGGTGAAGTAACATGACAGGATATAGGCAGTGCCTGCAGAGAAATAGAGAAGGCTCTTTGTGTGTTTGCTGTGCCGCCCGTTTGCCCTGCACACCCCGAGTCAGTCGCTGTGCTCACGCTTCATTCAAGCTGAGCAGGAAGGGGCTGCTGTGAGGAAGCTCGTGTGAAAGCAAGCAGCGTATTTGCACTTCAGATGGAGCGTGCCATGCTTGGCCAAGCTTTTGTCTTCAGAGACACCATAGTGGTGTGCCTGCCTGCCTCTCCTCCCCATTGGCTGCCTGTGCCATGGCTGAGAAGGGGTTTGTGGAGGCGGTTT